GCTGGGACATGTGACGCAGACGCGGGAGAGCAGGGTGACCTAAGCGGTGGTGCCAGAGAAGGGACGCGTGAGTGAGGGACCGATACGAGCAAGCTGCAACGACCTGGGAGGACGCACCAACCGGGGGGGAAGCGGTGTCTAGGGTAAACAGACCGGACACCGGGTCCCGAGGGAACGTCGCAGGGGGGGAACCTGAGACAGCCTCAGAACAGATAGCGAACCGCTCGTGCCCGGGGAACGTGGTGGTGACGCCGAGGTCCTGGAGACAGCCGACACCAACCAGGTTCCTCGAGAACGAGGGAACGTGGAGGCCTGTAAGGGAGCCCGAGGGAACTGCCGGACAGGGAAGGGACGTAGAACTGCGAGCGACGACAGGACCCGCAGAGGGGTCAGCGAGAGAGACAACAGCAGGTGCAGCAAGCGGCGTGAGCGTGAAACGGTCGCGGAAGAAGCAGGCAGAAGCACTGGAGTCGAGAGAGATTGACAGCGACGCAGTGGCGGAGGCCGGGGACGGAGCCGGTGCAGCGACTAGACTAGGCAAGCTAGGCAGTCCTACGCCTGACGCAGCAGGGGAGGCTAAGCTACACAATGGTGCAACACCTAAGCTAGAGTACACAGGGTAATAGGATCCAGCAACACTAGAAGCGTCAGAATACAAAGCATGCAAAGCAGCACCTATCTGATCCATGTCTAACTCAAAGATCGGCACGCCCTGGCGGAGCAGGCTGTGCCAGTCGGGGAGGTCCGGGGCCGGGCCAAAGCGACGACGAAAGAGATCGTCGAGGCGGCGGAAACAGCGGGCGGTCGGGTGCGGGCGGCGACACAGAGTGCCGAGAAGAGGCCCGGTCTGAAGCTGGTACTGGCAGGTGACAGCACCGAAGCCGCCGGTAGACACCAAGCTGCGCGGGCCACCACCACGGCCACTACCTCCGGAGGTGCTGGGCCAGCCAGCCGGGAGACGGGCCCACTGCTGCGGCGACTGCTGCTGGGACGGCGGCTGCTGCTGGGGCGGGGGCTGTGTCTGGGGCTGCTGCTCCAGCCCACCAGTGGTAGTCCCCGCAGGCGGACTACCGTCAACACCACCACCACCACCACCACCACCTGCGCCACCACCCCTACCTACCTGGCGACCACGGCCACCGCGGCGCGAGCGCTGCTGCGGGTGGACCACAGCAGCCGTCTCGGTGAGAGGGGTCGTCATGGTGACCGCAGCCGAAACGTCAGTGAACGTGCACTGGGAGGGGGCACAACCGTAAAAGATAGAGACTGCCGGCGCACCGCTCAACTGGGCGATAGTGCGCTGGCGAGTCTCAATCTCGGTGAGGGTATCGACAAAGGCGGTGAGGGTGAGGTCACCCGGGTGCTGGCTAAGGAAGTGGTCGCGAGCACTAGCGAGGCGGTCTGGCAGGCGCATGGCGATAAAATAGAGCGTCATGCAGAAAGGGGGGGGAGCGCAGTGAGCTGGGCAGCAGTGCTGGCAGTGCGATAGCGGGTCTCTAGGGCACGCAGGTGAGTGGCAAAGTCTGCGACGGTAGGGAAGGCTGCAAGGTCTGGGAAAAGCATAGGGAAGAGCAGGCGGCCAGCAGATCAGACGTGGGTGTGGAATAGCGAGCAATAACGGCATCGAAGTAAGCTTTGGCCGTCTCAATAGTAGCAAAGCGCGAGCGCTCAGACACAGGGAGGGCGTGGCTAATAGCAATATGAGCGACTGCATCGCGGGAGTCCCAGACCGCACGGGCAAGCGCAGCAGTAGAGAAGGTCTCACGGTCATCAGAGGAGGGGTCAGCAGGGAGGGGAGCAGGTGCGGGGGGGCGGGGGAGCAAGCCGTCGACATGGACAACCAAAGGGTGGCCATCCTGGCGATGACCTGTAAGGTGGCGGCGGAGATCGGAGAGCCAGGCGGCGAAGTCAACCGCATGGCCCTCGGCGTCCAGTCGGAGCACGAAGTCAGCCATCGTACAGGGTCAGCGGCACAGCTCCACAGGAACACAGCAACGCAGGGACACGGCGACATCACTCTCCAGCACGGCGGCCGCGAGGCGCCCCAGCACCGGCGAGCTGAGTAGACGGAACCCGAGGCGGCACGGCAGGACGAGCAGGCACGAAGATGGGCCGGGCGGGCAAAGGGAGAGGCCTGGCAGACGCGGCGGGGCCAGGCAGGCGCGGCGGGGCCAGGCAGGCGCGGCGGGGCCAGGCAGGCGCAGAGGGGCGAGGCAGGTGCGGCGGGGCCAGGCAGGCGCGGTGGGGCCAGGTAGGCGCGGCGGGGCCAGGCAGGCGCGGCGGGGCCAGGCAGGCGCGGCGGGGTCAGGCAGGCGCGGCAGGGCCAAGCAGGCGCGGCGGGGCCATGCAGGCGCGGCGGGGCCAAGCGTGCGCAGCAGGGCCAGGCAGGGGCGGAGGGGCCAGACAGGCGCGGCGGAGCCAGACAGGCGCGGCGGGGCCAGGCAGGTGCGGCGGGGCCAGGGAGGCGCGGCGGGGCCAGGCACGTGCGGCGGGGCCAGGGAGGCGTGGCGGGGCCAGGAAGGCGCGGCAGGGCCAGGCAGGCGCGGAGGGGCCAGGCAGGTGCGACGGGGCCAGGAAGGGAGTGGCGGGGCTAGGCAGGGCGCGACGGGGCCAGGCGGGCGCAACGGGGCCAGGCAGGGCGCGACGGGGCCGAGCGGGCGCGAAAGGGCCAGGCAGGGCGCGACGGGGCCCAGGAGGGGCGCACAGGGCTAGGAGGCGCGACGGGGCCCAGGAGGGGCGCGACAGGGCTAGGAGGCGTGACGGGGATCAGGAGGGGCGCGACGGGGCCCAGAAGAGGTGCGACGGGGCTAGGGGGGCGCGACGGGGCCCAGGAGGGGCGCAACTGGGCTAGGGGGTTCGACAGGGCCCAGGAGGGGCGCGACGGGGCTAGGGGGCGCGACGGGGCCCAGGAGGGGCGCGACGGGGCCCAGGAGGGGCGCGACTAGGCTAGGGGGCGCGACGGGGCCCAGGAGGGGCGCGACGAGGCTAGGGGGGCGCGACAGGGCACAGGAGGGGCGCGACTAGGCTAGGAGGCGCGACGGGGCCCAGGAGGGGCGCGACGGGGCTAGGGGGCGCAACAGGGCCCAGGAGGGGCGCGATGGGGCTAGGAGGCGCGACGGGACCCCGGGAGGGGGGGCGGCGGGGCCTAGCTAGGGTACGGGCGGAAGCGGTAGGTGGGGGATTCTAACCTACGCGTGATACCATGTTAATGTGAGAACTGAAAGATAGAATAGAAGTGGAAACCTATAACAAATACTACTTGGTTGTACTCACTAGAAGCATACCTCAGTCTAGCCTATAACTTCACTTCAACTCAGTTACTACCCTACAACAGAAATGGCCGCAGACTACCTGATGAAGAAACTAGCGAAGGCCAAGTTCGATTACTGCATGCTACTGACCGGGCAGACAAACGTCACCGGATCTGAACACGTCAGCACTCCAGAAACGAAGGGGAGTGTTGGAAATATCTCAAGGACTTGAGTGTTTCTGAAGTGTAACACCACACTCGAGGAAGATCGTAACGAGTACGTGAGTCAAAAAAGGTTACACGAGGGGCTGGACAAAGAACACGAAAGGACTCGAAGGGTCGCAACCGGAGGTTGCGACTGACCGTTACAACTGCAAGAATGGTAACCGAAGCGACAGTCGAGTCGCTGCGCGACTCGATAACCGCCATTCAACTGTATTCTACAACTGCTCGTTTTTCTACTTTCTATATATTGCTGTATGCTTGTTCTCTTTAATCAATTACTTGTTCTCATATACTAGTACAAGAGTTCAACTACCACAACTTCCGCTGCATTACTCAAAGTCTTTTACAACTGGGACTTAGTCTCTGGAAATATCCTAAGGGCATTTCTCAGCCCAACATGGTATGAGAGCTCGTCAGAGATCAAACTCCCAGCAACTACGATTTATCTACAATCTGCACACAACGACTTCATTGATTACAAGTTATGGACAGCAAGGGCAAGAAAACCTCTACGGGCTCACCCAGTGCTCAAGATACTCAACCCGGCAACTCTGGACTGCACACTTCAGGACTGCAAACCGAGACCGGCGCTGCTCAAGAAACAACAGGAAGAGCACCAGAAATGGTGACCCCATCACCCTCTTCAAGCGTGGACCCTGTTGTAATCACAACAGGCATAGATGTGCCTATAATGAGAGATAGAGAGCACAGTCGGATGTCCGTCAGACGGCTTCAAATATTGATAACGATCTGGTCGCTGAATCAAACTGTGATCTGTAAGTTGGATCTAGAGCGCGTGACTGTCGTCTATCAGCAGCAAGTTTAATCATGAAATTCCATGAAGATTTGACGACGCTATGGCGGTTTGACTGGCAGGAGGTATAGCAGCCACTATAGTCTTGGAAGTACAAAACTTAGCAAGAAGAGTTCAAGAGGGAGATGGTTCCCAGCCTCTACATACCCCAAGAGCCGAGGTCCAGGTTGGTGGTACACCACCACAGAGTCCCCAACCATGAAGAGTCTCGAAACCAACCCTCCAAGGGGCTACACCAAGTGAAATGTAACACTACACGAAGTAACGTTACTATTTTCACTATTCAATATTTATCCGCGTCCCTTGGGCTTGAAATCTTGAGCTCTTGTTCTTGGATATGCAAGACAAATTCTTCTTGAGTTGATGGGGGCTTGCTGCACACACCTGCAACACGATGGACACTTCACACTTGACAAAATAGAAAAAACACATGCGACACACAAACGACGACTTGACATGCGAGTTGTAAAAACTCGCTAATGTCTTGACCGACACAAACCACATTGTGATACACCATTCAAACACACACACAAGCACTGGATAGCAATGACATAGACTCACAATTCATTCCATGCCATGCATGCACACACACAAACAAGGACGACGAGCCGAGTGCAAGCCATAGGGTTGCACCAACAAACTCCCCCTCGGATTGTTGGCCTTAGAATCTGCTCCCCTTAGTTCAGAGCCATCCCAGCAAGCTTGCAACACTTCCAATGCTGCTGCTCAACCAGCCTCTTGGTCATCATATCAGCAGGCTGCGCCGTCGTCTTCACATAGTGCAACTCCACTTCACCCGCGGTTACCATGCTCCTCACCCAATGCCACTTCACCTTCATGTGCTTGGTAAGGCCATGAAGAATAGGGTTCTTAGCCAATGCAATAGCACCCTGGCTATCACAGTAGAGTGGGGTAGGTCCTTGCTGCTCCTCCCCCAATTTAGCTAGCAAACGCCGCTGCCACACAACCTCTCTTATGGCACGGAAGAGTGCCATGTACTCGGACTCCACCGAGCTCAATGCTTGGTCCACTTGTTTCTTGCTCTCCCAAGCTGTTGGCCCTCCACCAACACAGCAGATGAAGCCTCCCACACTTGTCATGTCCTCTGGTTCTGATGCCCAAGATGCATCAGAGAAGGCGGTGAGAAAGAGCCTCCCGGGTTCGACTCCATCCGCACCCTTTTGACGCCTTTGTGCCGCAGCGGAGTATTGCAGTCCAACAGTTGCTGTTTGGCCAAGGTACTTGGCCACCCTCTCTCCAGCTGCTACCTGCTCCTCATTAGGGAATTGGACAACCCTAGCCAGCTGCCCAGTAGCAAAGGCTGCATCCGGCCTTGTGTGAACGGCCGCATACATGAGGCTGCCCACCAAGGAGTGAAAACGTGGCCTCTCCTCTTCACCAACACTTTCCTCCGCTGGTCCTTTCACACACTTGAACCCTGAGGGTAGAGGAGTAGCCACATGACCTTCACTCTTCCCAAAGTTTGCAGCCAAGGCCTCCAAGTACTTCTTTTGATGCACTCGCATCCACCGCTTCTCCACATCTCGCTCAATGTGAAGCCCAAGGTAGTAGTTGACGTCACCAAGGGTCTTGCACTTGAACTTGTCTTGAAGCTTCAGCATCACCTCCTTCACAAGGTCAGAGGAGGGTGAGAATATGAGGATGTCATCCACATAAACCACCATGAAGCTCCTCTGCTCCCCCTCGCCAAGCATGAACAAGGATTGATCGGCCGTTGAGGGAGTGAAGCCGATCGCCTCCAAGACTTCCCGCAGCTTGATGTACCATTGCCTAGGGGCTTGCTTGAGGCCATAGAGTGCTTTCTTCAGCTTCCACACTCTGCCACTCCCATCATTGTACCCCTCTGGCTGCTCCATGTAGGTCTCTTCCTCCAAAACGCCGTTGAGGAAGGCCGTTACAATGTCCATTTGCTTCACCACCCATCCTTTGATGGCCACCGCGGCGAAGAGAGTTCGAAGGGTTGTACCCTTCACCACAGGAGCATATACTTCATTGTAGTCCTTCTTCTTCTGCTGCTGGTACCCCTTGGCTACAAGTCTGCTCTTGTAGCGCTCAATGTTGCCGTCGGCGTCGGTCTTGCGCTTGAAGAGCCACTTGGAAGAAATCGCCTTACCCCCCGGAGGTAGGTTCACCAAGTCAAACGTGTCGTTCTCGATGATGCTCCCCATTTCTTCATCTGAGGCATTCTTCCCCTCCTTCCCATTGGTGCCCTCCCAAGCCTCCTTGGGATTTGTAGGCTCCCCCGGTATCTCCACCGGAGAGAAGAAGGCAAAGGCGCACTCCTCGCTTTCATCTTCCGCATCATCACCTAGCATGAGAGCCGAACCGGTCAAGGTTGAGTTGGCTGGTCCTCCAAGCCGTTCATAGCTCAACCTATTGGGGGGCTGAGTCCTCCTTCTCCCCCTTCCTTCCTCCTCTGCTGCAGGGACTTGAATGCTCTCATGGCTTTGCGGTAAGTCCGGTCTGTTCCCGCGAGCACTTGTAGCACGAGGCGGAAGTGGCGGTGCACGCTCATTACCTTGCTGCACCTCCTCCTCCTCCTCATCCCCATTCATTTGGGGAGATTGCCTCGTGATTGTGCTGCTGCTACTCAGCTCCAAGGGCAGCTCCACATGCTCCAAGCCGGTCCTCTTCACCTCTCCAAGCCGCACACCAATCTTCGCTTGGTTCTCCGCCTTCCACTCCTTGTACGGTAAGTTCTCCATGAACTTGCAATCTCTGCTCACCAGGAACTTCTTGGTAAATGGGTCCCATAGAAGCCATCCCTTGCTGTTTTGGGCCATGCCCAGGTGCACGGCCCATGTTGCCTTGGCATCAAGCTTGTTGTGCCGAAGTTTCTTAGGCACAAGTGCCATGCACATGCACCCGAACACCCGAAGCATATCCACCTTCGGCTTCCTTCCAATCCACTCCACATAGGGCACCCATTTGTCTTCTCCCACATGAGTCAAGGCTCTGTTCTTGGCCACACAAGCATGCCGCACCGCATCCGGCCAAAAGTAATTGGGTGGACCGGCTTCAATGAGAAGTCCCCAAGCCGTCTCCGTGAGTGTCCGATTCGCACGCTCGGCGATGCCGTTCATTGCAGGAGAGTAGGGCATGGTAAGAGAGTGCCTTATGCCCTGCTTCTTCAGCCAAGTTGAGAAATCCTTGCTCAGGAACTCTCCCCCACGGTCAGTGCGAATCGCCTTCACAAGTCGGTCTTGTTGCCGCTCCACCATCGGCAACCAATCGGTCTTCACCGTTTCAGCTACGTCACTCTTCTTGGGCAGCACATACACCCAAGTCATGCGAGTGTAGTTGTCCACAATGGTGAGGAAGTACTCTGCTCCAGCAGCTCCAAGCTTCAAGGGGCCCACCACATCCATCACCACCTCATCAAGTGGTGCCTTCGCCGTTGTCTCCGAGCTATGGAACGGGTAGCGGGTGAACTTGGCTTGCATGCATGTTGGACAGCCAAGCACCTCATTGGGCTCCCCCTTGACACGTATCCCACTGACCATCTCTTGCTTAACTATCTGCTGCAAAATGGGCAATGCCACATGCCCCATTCGCCGATGCAAGGTCAGCCAATCACACTCTCCCGTAGCGGAAGTCGGGTTGGAGAAAGCGGCACTCGCAATTGTGCCCCACAAGCTCTCTCCTTTCTCCTTCGCCGCTGCTGCTTTGTTGATCTTAGCCTTTTCCTCCTCATTTCCACCACCTTTGGCTGCTGCACCATTCTCCTTACACGCCTTGCTGGTCTCTCCAAGGTTGCACTCCTTCGAGTCACTCTTGGTGTCACTTTGCTTTCCGTGATCACCGCCACCAACCGCTTCACGCTTGGTGCTGACGCTTGCTGCCACTTGCCTCTCTTTAGGCATGGGGACCACTGGGATTTGCCACATCTCATTGTAGATGTCCCTGTCCTCATGAAGGTCCCAAAGCTCCCGCTCACCAAGCCGCGCGGTATAGGTTTTGGATCCCTTGGAAGATGTGTCCATGCCGGCGTTTTGCAAACGCCGAACGGAAATCAGGTTGGCTGCAAGGTTGGGCACCAAAAGCACGTTCTTGAGGCCCACCATCTTCCCATCAGAACCCTTGAACATGGCCTTGCCCATACCCTTCACCTCTGCTCGCTGCCCCAAAGCCGATGTAACATGCTTGACCGGCGACGGTTCGAGTTCGGTGAGCAAGTCCGCACGAGGTGTCATGCTGTAGGTGGCACCGCTATCGATCACCCAAAAGTCCAGAGAGTGAAGGGTGACCTTTCTCACAGTAGCTGGCTCCTCAAAGCCTTCCACACCTCCTGCTGCAGCTGCCGCTTGCGTGGAGACAAAGAAGAATTGGCCCGGGTATCGATCTTCACTCGAGTCCTTGTCGTAGTCTCCACCTTTCATGCTTGCCGCTTCGCTTCCACGACCACCACGGCCTCCACGACCTCTGCCTCTTCCTCTCCTTGCTGCTCTGCCCTCTTGGCCTTGAGAAAGGGTCCATCCATCAGGCAATCTGAAGCAATCTCTCCACATGTGGCCGGTCTTGTGGCAAAAGTGGCATTCGCCATCAAATCGACCGCGCCCACGCCCATAGCCATTGTTGTTGTTGTTGCTGCCATATCCTCCATTACCACGGCCTCCATTGAAGTTACTGCTGCCAAATCTTCCTCCTCGCCCTCTGCCCCTTCCACGGCCATGCCCACAGCCCATGCTTGCAACTCCGGCACCATCGGGACCCGCCAATTCGCGACGGCGGAAATCTTCTTGTAAGATTTCCCGCTTCACATCTTCGAGTGAGAGACGGGGCAGATCTCGATTAAGGTTGATGATGAGCGAGGACCATGAGTCCGGAAGTAAGGCCAGCAGCTTGGTCCTCTTTTGTAGGTCACTGTAGTTCAGGTCAACTCCTTCGAGCCGTGTCAACAAGTCGAAGAATTTCTGCACTCCTTCCTCCACCGGTTCGCCTTCGTCAATTCGAAGTGCCGCCATTTGCCGCTCCAAAACCACAGCCACCGCCGCTGTTGCAGGAGCGTGTACACCCTTGAGAGCAGCCCATGCCTTTGGTCCCTTTGCTGGTTCACGCTGAAAAGGCTTGATGTGACGGATTTGGCTGCTCCCCAACGCTTGCCCAAGTAGAAGGTAGCCTTGTGCGCTCTTCCGCACCCATGGGCTCTTCTCCAGGTCGTTCTCGGGGCGCTTCTCCGTTCCTTCCATCACCTCCAGCAGATCATAGTGGTCAAAGATGTTCTCCATCTTGAAGGACCACTCAGCAAAGTTGTCACCGTTCAACTTGTCAAGGCCAAACACTCTAGGCTCATCCCTAGAGGGTCCAAGGCTAGGTTGCACCAGAGCAACGGGTGGATCTTGGTGTTGACCTTGTGCTTGGGCGTCTTCTCTGCCTCCAGCACCTCTGCCTCCCCCTTCCTCAGGTCTAGGCATGGTCGAGACGTCTCCAAGGGGCTCTGATACCACTTGTTATAATCACAATAGGCTTAGATGTGCCTATAATGAGAGATAGAGAGCACAGTTGGATTTCTTTCAGACGGCTTCAAATATTGATAACGATCTGGTCGCTGAATCAAACTGTGATCTGTAAGTTGGATCTGAAGCGCGTAACTGTTATCTATCAGCAGCAAGTTTAATCATGAAATTCCATGAATATTTGACGACGCTATGGCGGTTTGACTGGCAGGAGGTATAGCAGCCACTATAGTCTTGGAAGTACAAACTTAGCAAGAAGAGTTCGAGAGGGAGATGGTTCCCAGCCTCTACATACCCCAAGAGCCGAGGTCCAGGTTGGTGGTACACCACCACAGAGTCCCCAATCATGAAGAGTCTCGAAACCAACCCTCCAAGGGGCTACACCAAGTGAAATGTAACACTACACGAAGTAATGTTACTATTTTCAATATTTAATATTTATCCGCGTCCCTTGGGCTTGAAATCTTGAGCTCTTGTTCTTGGATATGCAAGATAAATTCTTCTTGAGTTGATGGGGGCTTGCTGCACACACCTGCGACACGATGGACACTTCACACTCGACAAAATAGAAAAAACACATGCGACACACAAACGACGACTTGACATGCGAGTTGTAAAAACTCGCTAATGTCTTGACCGACACAAACCACATTGTGATACACCATTCAAACACACACACAAGCACTGGATAGCAATGACATAGACTCACAATTCATTCCATGCCATGCATGCACACACACAAACAAGGACGACAAGCCGAGTGCAAGCCATAGGGTTGCACCAACAGACCCGAACCTTATGGAAAGGTTCTTCAGCTTCATGTCACACTTCGACCAGCAGCAGCAGACAAGGACACCTGCGTATTCAACACAAAGCAACAGAGGAAACATGGGATTAGCGCCGATGAGTCTCGACAACTCATCGTTCGGGCGACATAATCAAGCGCCTTCCTTTGCGCCTTATCACTCTTCATCGGGGACGTTCGAGTTCATGCCGCCCCGTGCCCAACCAACAGCAGCTGCATCACAACAGACACCAAACGAGATTTTAAGTCTCCAGGCGCAGTTTTCACACGTGATTAAATTGCTGACATCCTCATCATTCAACGGACACAATTTCTTTACCTGGAGTTTTGAGTTCGAGCTGCTGATGGAAGCTGCGCATCTCTTGGGATACTTCAACGGGTCCCTGCCATTCCCAAGCAACGGCACTGCAAAAGAACAAGAAATCTTCACATATCAGCCGCTGCTGGCGTACACAGTTCTCCTACGGAACCTGTCACCACAAGAACAGCAAAGCATCAGAACGTATCGGAGCTACGGAAACTCCGCGGAACTCGCATGGCATCACCTCAAGTGCCTCTATCAAGCAAATGACAGCGTGACACAAAGCAGACTCATGCAACAGCTGACAACAATACAGATGAAGACCGAGGAAAAAGCGATGCAGTATATGAGTCGATGCCAGACACTCCGCGACCGCCTGCTTCGGTGCGGAGGAACAATCACTGAAGAAAGCTTCGTGACGCTTGTCCTCGCTGGGCTCGGGCCAGAATGGAGAACCAACCGATCGCTCCTTCGCGCCCACGGACGAATCTCGGAGATGCACCTCTGCGCCGAGCTTCATGCTGAACAACAGAAGATGGACCTGTTTGAAGAAAGGCAACCAAGAAAGCAGCAACCGTTAGTCTTCTACACTCAACGAAGGAACGACAACAACTACAATCGACGCGGGAAGCAAGAACAACGCGACAATAGAGGACTCACCATTGTGCCGCCGTTCTGCCACAACTGCCAAACATCCGGACACTCCAAAGTCAACTGCACACGTCCCCGAGCTTATCGTCCAGTAGACCCACAAGTCGCTTCCACTCAAGAAAGCCCGCCGAGACGCTCTTCCACATCTGCGCAAGGCACACCGGACTTCATCAACTGCATGGTACGCATCGACAACTGCGCACCCGGATCACCGCCAACTTAAGCTCCAGATGAAGAAGAACTGTCGCCACCGCGCTCACAAGGACTTCAAGTCAACCCAACGTATGCTGCAGTCGCCAACTCCAAACCTACCGGACTCAACACTTGGTTCTTGGACAGCTGTTGTGGCCAACACATGTGTTCTTCCGGGCGTTTCGTGAAACGAGAACGACGTCTCAACCGAGACGTCATCATCACCGTCGCCAACAACGAGAACCTGAAGACAAACAGACAAGGAGTGGTTCAGTTACAATCCATGGAGACAAACGTTATACTGCAACTCAACAAGGTCCTCATCGTCGACAACTTGGGATACAACTTACTAAGCGAAAAGGGATTCACCTGGAGTGCGACTCGGACTCCAACGAATTTCGGCTATTCCACGGGAAGGGCGGTCTCTTTATCGGTCGCGCTCTACTAAAGTCCGGCGTCTTCGTGTTGGATTTCGTCCCCGACCGCGGTACCGCCAACAGCGATGGCATCCTGTCATTCGCCGCATGGACGCACCCACCGGATCTTGACCCCGACTTCAACCAAGATGGATACTGGTACTCAAACACCATACCTGCAGCAGAAAGAACACGGGCGTTAGCAGTCATGCGACAAGAAAGACAAGTACCGGAAAGCATCTCTTCATCGACATCACCTAAAATCACAGCAGCAGGACCCAGCCGAGTATCATCACCAGCAATCCGAAGACCGCCAACCGAAGCAGATCAAATCATGCCCACCACACGCGAAGTCTGCCGAAGTCCCGCCACCGTCGTCGCGTTCTTCTCCAACACCGACATGTATCACCGATCGCCCGGCCATCGAGCTCCAGACGACATCTGGCATCAACGCCTCGGGCATCCTGCAAATAACACGGTACTACAAACCATCCAAGCTGAAGTGTTAGAACGAAACGCTCTCCTTACAACAAGCGGCCAGGAACTTCGACGACCTCGCGCACGATGCTTTACATGCCCCGAAGCAGATCTTCAACACCAACCTTTTCCGTCACATCACAATCCAAGCGCACCTGCATACGCACCGATGGAAAAAGTTTACAGCGACATCTTAAACATGCCTCGAGATGACACTAAAGCCGACTTCAACTATGTCATCACGTTCATCGATACAGCAACAAGATATGTTTGGCACTACAACCTCAAGACGAGAGACTAAGCCTTCGAAGCCTTCAAGACGTGGCTTCCCATCGCTGAACGAGAATCAGGAACGAAGCTCAAAAGCTTCCAGTCAGACGGCGCACTGGAATACCAGTCACAACGCTTCAGGACCTACTTGGCGGAAAGAGGAATCAGACGCCTGGTGTCTCTGCCCTACGCTCACTAGCAGTAGGGGGTCGCAGAACGCATGAACCGGACCTTGCAGACGACGATGCGAAAGCTGCTCCTGGGGATGAGACTGCCCAACACACTGTGGCCAGACGCGATGACACATGCAGTCCACCTGCACAATCTGTTGTCCTCGTCATCGCTTCCCAACAACGCATCACCGCACCTGCTGTGGACACGAAAAAGGGGCAGCACAAAATTACTTCGAGTTTTTGGCTGCATGGTACAGTACAGACCCCACACAGCCCGAGCAGGACGCTTCACTCAACGAGCTCGGTGGGGACTACACCTCAGCATCGCCAAACATTTTCACGCATGGAAAATCCTCGACATACAAGACAAAAATACGGTGGCATCACGTGATGTTATCTTCTACGAGCGACTGACGCTGCAGCATTACCTGGACAACATTGCCAACACACACGACCCTACCGACGGCCTCGCGGGCCTTCGTTCCTTCGCCGACCATGCTGCCGAGGCTGACGCAGCAGAAGAAAACGTACCTGGAGCCTCGGAAGCTGCCGGACCACTCCCTTTCTGTTCCGTACCTGTTCCACTCGACGAAGACAATCCTCTCGATAGCAACAACCTTGACACCCTCTACCACTTCGCTGACCAAGGTTACGCTACACCTCATCCAGTCGACACGAATGTCTCAGAACGCATCGGCCCAAACTTCTTACCTGATCCAGAAGATGGTGACGAAGCAGACTATTCCGGGAATGAAAATTCCCCTCGACACACACCCACGGGACTGCAGATCCTCGGCTTATGGGTCTCCGTCCAGCACCCGCCGCCGCCATCCCCGCGCGAGCCAACGACTCTGTCGCAGGCTCTGGGGGGGGAACATAAGGCGAAATGGAAGGAGGCAATGGAAAAGGAACTGAACGCTCTGCAAGACCGAAATACATGGAAGCTGGTACTGTACCTGCAACGAACGTCAACGGGAAGAACGTTCTCTCCAGAAAATGGGTGTACCGCATCAAGACCAATGCAGACGGCTCCATCGAACGATTCAAGGCTCGTTGGGTCGTACGAGGATTTGATCAACGATACGGAACCGACTACACAGAAACATTCGCCCCAGTCTCGCGTCACACCTCCTTGCGCATCCTACTCGCCGTCGCGGCCACAAAGAAACTACCACTGCGCTAGATCGACGTCGCAAAAGCCTTCCTGTACGCACCTGTGGACGCCGAAATCTTCGTCGAGCAGCCCCACGGATTCATCGACGACTCCACAAAAGTATGCCAGCTGATAAAATCCCTTTATGGGATCAAGCAAGCCCCGCGGCTCTGGCAGCAGCATCTTCACGGTCGCCTCGTCAGAATCGGATTCCTACAGCTGCCGCATGACCAAGGCATGTACCGACTGCAGAAGGGAAGAGAGTATATCCTACTCATCGTTTACGTCGACGACCTACTCTACATCGGTTCCACTACCGACATCGCCACCTGGTTCGAAGGGGAGCTGAAAGGGGACTTGACACTCACGGTGTCCGACACAGTGACCCAGTACCTGGGTCTGAATGTCGTCGAAGACAACTCGGCGTTCTACCTATACGCTGGGAAGTACGCAGGCGTTGTCGCAAAGAAGTTCGGACTAACACCAACTACAGTCGCGACTCCCTACCGCTACGGGAACAACAACGACACCTCCGCAAAACTCCCCGCGAAGCAAATCCGGGAGTATCAACTGAAGCTCGGCTGCCTACTATTCGCAGCAGTAACCTGCCGACCTGACCTATCCTACAGCGCAAGCCAGCTGGCGACGCATCTGAAGCAGCCGGAACAAGAAGATCTCGAAGAACTAAACCGGGCACTACTCTACTTCGTCTCTACGCCGACGACCGGACTCACCTACAGCAAAGTAACAACACCATCCGTACAACTATTCGGATACGTCGACGCCGACCACGCGGGAGACAGGGAAAATCGACGATCGAGAACGGGCTACATCTACCGACTAGAACCTATCGGGACTATCTCCTGGCAGTCGAGCAAGCAGGAACTAATCGCACTATCTTCGGCTGAAGCAGAATATATCGCCCTCTGTACTGCAACCAAGGACTCTGCTTACGAGAGTTGCTCGAGGAAGCGAAGATTGCGACCCTGCCCGTCTTCTCACTCCTCTGCGACAACCAATCTGCGATCAAAATCGCGAACAAGGACGGCTTCGCCAACCGAACCAAGCACATTGCCATGCGGTACTTTTTCGTCAAAGATGAAATCGCGAAGGGGAGACTTCAACTCAGTTACTGCCCTACAACAGAAATGGCCGCAGACTACCTAACGAAGAACTGGCGAAGGCGATGTTCGATTACTGCATGCTACTGACCGGGCAGACAAACGTCACCGGATCTGAACACGTCAGCACTCCAGAAACGAAGGGGAGTGTTGGAAATATCTCAAGGACTTGAGCGTTTCTGAAGTGTAACACCACACTCGAGGAAGATCGTAACGAGTACGCGAGTCAACGGAGGTTACACGAGGGGCTGGACAAAGAACACGAAAGGACTCGAAGGGTCGCAACCGGAGGTTGCGACTGACCGTTACAACTGCAAGAATGGTAACCGAAGCGACAGTCGAGTCGCTGCGCGACTCGATAACCGCCATTCAACTGTATTCTACAACTGCTCGTTTTTCTACTTTCTATATATTGCTGTATGCTTGTTCTCTTTAATCAATTACTTGTTCTCACATACTAGTACAAGGGTTCAACTACCTCAACTTCCGCTGCATTACTCAAAGTCTTTTACAACTGGGACTTAGTCTCTGGAAATATCCTAAGGGCATTTCTCAGCCCAACAACTTCTACATAGCTAATATGACTAAGTTGACATGAACTAGGAAAGAGAGGGGTACAAGAAGGGGGGTTGTCCTCTCTACAGTAGGATCCAGAATTGTAGAAAACCTACCAAGCCTACACAACTATATATATATATATATATATAATAAATTAGTTGACAAAAGAATCACCCCATACTCTCATCCCATAATCCAGGGCACCTGCCAGAGAGTGGACAGGAGCAACGGGCGCCCTTGCCACATGAGTTGCACGGCGCCTTCTGTGGCCAGCACGCCAAACCCGGGCGGGAAGTCCCGAACCACACAATACGTCTCCTCCAGCACGTCTGCCGGCACGGGGAGCGGCACGAACCCTGCGCGGCGTATGCGCTGCGACCACCCAGAGAGGCTCTCGGGGCGCACTGAGCGCTGCATACCCTCCGTGGCCACCATGTTCATAATGTTGTACCCGAAAAGGGACTGCTCAAAAGCGAGGATGTGGTCCCGACGGGTAGGTGTTTCCCTTGGGGCAGGTGAGGGGCTAGGAGGAGGGAGGGAGGTGCTTCCTGCAAGGGGCTGGGGATCAGCAGACAGATGCTGCGGCTGCTGGCAGTGCTGCTGCTGCTGTTGCTGTTGCTGTTGCTGTTGCTGCTGGAGTCTACTTGCCGCGGTCCCTTGCTTGGAGGCAGGAGATGCAGAGAGGGTCTCGTGGCACTCGAAGAGCGAGGCGTGGTAGTCGAAGCAGTTGCGCAGGCGCGAGAGGAAGAAGGGGCCGTTGGCAGACAGGTCAAACTCCTTAAACGTAAAAATGTCGGGCGACAGAGAGAAAATCCACTGCAGTGTACAGAAAGAGGGGGGTGGAGGAGAGAAGGGGAGGTGCAATTGCAATTCAGGTTCGGCTTTGTGAGGGTTAAGGGCGTGCTGACGCGAAACATTGTAGGGAATGGCTGACGTGCAGGGAGATGACTAGATGGCGGGGAAAAGAGAGGGAGCAGGCGCGCACCTTGAGAACGGTGTCCCTGGGACTGCTGCGCATGACAGAGCTGTCGTGAAAGTACAGAAGCTCCAGACAGCAACACACCGCCACCAACTCCTCCTCCTCCTCCTCCTCCCCCCCCTCCTCCTCCTCCCAGCTCCCCTCCACAGCTGCTTCCTCCATGCACCCATGCATCCTCCTCCCACCAGCACACACGCTTCCCACTCCCCTCAACCCTCTCCCCCCCCTCTTCCTCCCCCGTCGCCGGGCCTCCACCTGGCCGAGGCTATCCGCAAGGTTGTCCTTGTGGATCGTGACCACTCGGTGCTCGAACCTCTCTATGCCCAGCGCCGCTGCCTCGGCCGTCAGCTCCGTTGTGAGCGTCCTCCCCAGCTCCTCATGCTTCAGCCTCTCACAGTCCTCCACCCAGCACTGGTCCCAGTCATCCACCAGCCCCTCCCACGCTGCTCCACCTACTCCACATGCCCCTGACCCTGCCTCTGATGCGCCTGTTGCTGCCGCCCCTGGTCTGGCTGCTCGTCCAGCGCGAAAGCAGTTGTCAATGGAGGTGATTCGCACGCAGCGCGGGGGCCCGCCAGGCAGGGAGGAGAGGCGGCGCAGTAGCAGCAGCCACTGCCCGCCCAGGTACACACCAAAGTCGATTATGTGCAGGGCCTCCCGCACTCTTTGCCTCGGGTTCTTAGTCCCTGTGTCGTACCCTGCTGGCCTCGCTCCTGCTCTTGCTGCCTCAAGCGCTGCTGCTGTGTCTCGTGCTGCTGCTGCTGCTGCTGCTGCTCCGAAACCAGACGTCTCTCCAGAGCCATCGCTGCAGTAGCTGCTGCTGCTGGTGCTGGCAGCAGCAGGACGTGACGTGAGGGAGTGAGCGGAGGGGGGATCGAAAGGAACGCAGAGATGGAAGGCAGGAGAGCGGGTGGAGACGATGGCAGTGGGAGGGGTGGCGGAGAGGCGAGAGGAGGGCGAGAGCGCATGCAGGATGGCGGAATGGACGGTGGCGTAGAGGAAGCTGATGAAGGGCGTGGTGGAGAAGTAAACGTAGCGCGATTGCATCATCTCCTGGCACCCGAACGGCGTGTGAGAGGGGGGGGAGAGGGCAGGAGGGAGGGAGGGATGTGGAAGACAGGGAAAAGAGAGGGAGGGTGTGAGGGGACGGACGTGAAGCCAGGCAGGAGAAATAGGAGGAGTGGATGGACAGCATAGCGCACGGTTGGTGAACAGTGTGCGAGGAGGGGGAGCGGCGGAGGACGGGAGGGGGGGCAAGAGGGGAAGCGATGACGGAGATTGGTGACAATGGCAAGGATAATGTATTGAGGGAGAAAACATGGAGTAGGGGAACAGAAAGGTTGTCATATCCCATGACCCATATCCCATGACCTTTATCCCATGACCCATATCCCATGACCCATATCCCATATCCCATATCCCATGTCCCACATCCCATATCCCATCTCCCACATCCCATATCCCATATCCCCATCCCACGACGACCAACCCCGTGCCTTACATCAGCTGCAAAAGCGCCTCTCCTCCTGCAATGCCTGCAGCCCCTGCACCTCCCGTTCATACCAGCCACCCACCTTCCCTGCCCAGCCTTGCACGCCCTAGCTTCTCACACACTCGCCCATCCATAAGTCACCACACAAGGCCACACAGGGCACAGTTAACACCAAATGCACCTCACCACACCCTAGACATGATCAAAACGCGATTGCGATTTAAATCGCATCGCATGCAGGTGCGATGTTTAAAAAAGCGATGCGATTTTAAATCGCATCGCGCGATTTATTTTTCAAAAAAAAAAAAAAAATCGCACATCGCATTTTACCCGCGATGTATTAATAAATCGCATGCGATATTTAATTAAATCGCAAAATGCGATTTTAAATCGCATCGCGTTTTAAAACAGAATTAAAAAACACCCCAAAAAAACAGAAAAAAACCATGGCTGTGGGGAAATTGACTCACGGGCAGTCGAAAGCTAGAGTGCAAATAACCAGTTTGGTTTCGTAGTGGGTTTCAGAGTGGGTTTCAGTGCAATATCGCGCGCGATTTTAAAAAAATCGCATATCGCATTTAAATCGCGTTTTTTAAGCGCGATTAAAATGCGATTTAAATTAAATCGCGCGATATTAATTCATCGCATCGCGCGATGATTAAAAAAAAAAAAAAAAACATCGCCATCGCAAAAACGCGATTAAATGCGATGCGATGCGATGCGATGCGATTTTTTTTGCCCATGTCTACCACACCCTGGATCCCATCACACCCAGCAGCCCAGCACACCCCACCCCACATCCCTCCAAGGAGCCCCCACGACCGCGTGCCCCACGCACATGCGAGGTGAAGCTGGCATTGTACAACCGCTGCGCGCCGCCGCCCTGCAGGCGGCACGTGAGCGCGTCCAGGAAGCAGTGCGCCGCACGCTGAGATGGCCGCCCCACACCGCACGCAGCTGCTGCCAGGCGCACCCGCAGCCCCGCCACACGGTCCTGGGGGGGGTGGGAAGTGAGTGATACAGTGCACAGGGATGAGAGGTGGATACAGCAGAGGGGACGGGGGGAAGTGGTTAAGGGCTGGAGGTGCAGAGAGGTGAAGGGAGAGGGCAAACGGGAACAGACGAGAGGAGCATGATAGCAAGACAAACATGAAGGGAGAGGAGAAGGGAGCGCGGCAACGGACGGGGGGGAGGTATGGGGGTCAACAGGACTGAAAAAAGGGAGGCGAATGGGAGAGGGTGGGGGGGGAGCGAGAGAGTGTGAGACGAAAGTGGTGTGTGTGAGCACTGACCATGTCTGACGTAGCGATGGCTTCAGCCAGGGCCAGCACGAGCTGCCTCACCTCACCCATGCTCAGATCGCTCTTGCCCATGTGCACGCCTGCACGCATGGGCCTCGGCACAGCCATGGGCATGGGCATGGGCATGGGCGTGGGCATGGGTGTGGCCATGTGCACCGGCTCATGCACAGGCACGTGAAAGCGCATAGGCATGGGCGAATGCATGGACATGGGCACAGGCATGGACGTAAAGTCACTTGTTATTCTGCTGGCCGCAGCACCACCAGACAGCACAGAGGGCAGCAGCGAGTGGTACGAGAAAAGAGGAGAGATCGAGGCAGGCCCTCTGGCTGTTGTGTACGAGTGCGGATGGGAGGCGCGAGTATGGGTGGTGGCAAGGGAGGGCAGTTGCAGAGCGCCGAAGGAGTCGTGGGGGGCGGCGAGCATGGCGGGGGCGAGGGCGAGTGAGGGCGCACAGCGCCTGATGTGCTCCGATAGGAGGAACGGATCCACGTCTCCTGATAGGCCGCCTGCGCCGCCTGACAGCAACCAGGCAGGAGAGCCAGCAGTAGCAGCAGTAGCAGCAGTGGCAGCAGCAGTAGCGGTAGTAGGGTTGAGCGGAAAGGCAGTCGCAGTGGGAGCAGCAGAGGCGAGAACTGCGCTGGGGTGGAACTGCCATGGCGGTTGCACCCCTCCATCCATGCCACCACCCACCACAAACCCTGCGCCGTCTTGTAGCCCCACGCCCCATGCTGTGTGCCCTGCTGTGAGCCCCTGCGCCCCTTGCCCCTGCATTGCTCGCCGCTTGCTGCCTGACTCCCCTCCATACCCACCCACCATGCCCTCATCCCCGCTACTCTGCTCCCCGCTTACCAGCCCACCAGAGGGCAGACCACCGCCCGCACTCGGCGAACCTACAAACCCACCACCAAAACCAGTGACTCCCACCCGCGCACCCACTGCACCCTCCGGGGCACCCTCTAGGCCAGCACCCTGCACGGCTCTCATCACATCCCCTGCTGGTCTTACCTCGGGCCCCAAGCCTCCCTCACGGGAACAATCTCCTGCCATAGCGCTGTTTAGCGCGCGGCGTTTGGCGTTGGCCTGGGATTTAGCTCTTGCCTTGCTGCCATCGCTGATGCGGTCTATGAGTGCTGCCAGTCGCCCCGACAGGTTGGGCAGCTGCCGCCTGCGAGGCATGCTGCCAGGTGCCTGTTGTTGATTTGGCGGTATATTTTGCTGCTGCTGCTGCTTCTGCTGCGGCTGGGGTTGTTTATTGTGCTGCTTCTGTTGCATCTGTTGCTGCTGCTGTGCGCCCCGCAGCTCGCCCAGTTGCTGTCCTACCCGAGCATCAGCACCAGCAGCAGCAGCAGGAGCAACGGATCCACCCTCCGCCATCGCACTGCCCTCGCCACTCGCACTACCCTCGCTTCGCTCCCAGCTTGTCTCCATACTTCCCGCACCACTCCCCTCCGCAGCCTCCGCCCCAATAAGGCCCGCGCCAGGGAGCTCCCATGGAGACGTTGAGCCCTGCACCTGCCGCACGTCGGTTCCGCCCACCCTGGTTCCGCCCGTGCTCGATTCCCCCACCGCATATCCGCTCCTCTCGATTCCCGCACACGCCGTTTCGCCCTCGCTCCCTTGGAGCACACGTTCGCGCGAGGGCTCGTTCCCTTCTGCCGTCATCATCATCAGCTGCTGCTGCTGCTGCTGCTGCTGCGGCCAGTGCGCTCCTTCCCCGTGCAACGGCAGCAGCGAGGCCCATGAGGCAGAGGCAGGAGGGGGTGCTACTATTAACGACTCCGAATGCCAACCCTCTGTCTGGCGCATATCCGCGAGGTCTTCGCAAATCGGAGCGCCTTGCAGCGGCGGATGACTGGCGGCAGTGGCAGCAGATGCATGACCCCCTTCTGGATGCGCGAACAGGCTGCCGAGGAACACGTCGATGGGGTCGTCGGCGCCACCGCCATTCACCCCCGCCATACACGCTGCAGCCCCCGCCTCGTCGTGAAACGACTCCGACTCCAGGGGTTCCAACGACTGCGCGTGCCGCGGCGCAGGGAATGCTATCGTCGCCGCCATAGAACTAGTATTACCAACGGGAGGTGGCGCAGCGGCTGCTGTGCTAGCAAGAACGGCGGCGGCAACGGAAACGGGCGTGGCAGGATCATCGGCGGAGCCTGACGGGGAAGAGAACTGCCGGGAGGGTTGTTCCGCCTGCGCCTGCTGCTGCTCGCAGTGGCGCTGCTGCTGCTGCTGCTGCTGCTGCTGGTGCAATAAGTTAGCATCGCTCTGCGGCTGTCCTTCGTCGAAGCAGGGCCCATTCGAGTGCGAGCCGTCGGTAATGGCGTCCAGGAGATCTAAGAACTCCGCCGCCACGTCACACTCAGCGAATAAATCAAGCGGCGGATTCTCGTCGCATAGCGTCGCAGAGTCATGCTGCTGGCGGGAATGACGATGAGCAAGCGACGAGGACGGCGACTGATGCGACCATGGCGTCGCAAGGACCTGCGCGCCGAGCGGAAATTCGAGTTGCTCTACCGGGAATTGGCTGCAGCGCGCGCCGAATACGGGCGCGTGCTGAGCCCACGGCGACGCCATTCCAAACCGCAGCTTCCGTGCGACCTCCGCGAGACCTTCGTGCGACTTCCTGTGACCTTCGTGCGACCACCGTGCGACCTCCTGCGACCTTCGTGCAACCTCCGAGCAGTTACAAACGCCGATCCTAAAGCTACCGTTTCCCAGTCCTTGCTCAATGTCCTGGTTCCTTCATAATCCACTCGCCTAACGGCATGTCCTGGTTCCCGACATCCCAGGAAACGGCTACTAAAATATTGCAGTCGGATCCATCCTGCTGTGCCCTCCTCCTTTCATCTTCGCCATGGGCTCACCTGTCTCATTCGAGCAAAGAACGGGAAATGAAACGATGGCGTGTAGCGGAAGGAACCAAGCTATAAAAAAATGTTAAGGGGAAAGGCTCGTGGATGGGCGGTGTTCGGGTAGGAGGGTGGATGAGGTGGTGGTAATGGCACGGCACATTGCGTCCAGTTTAACGATCATTTCGCGGCACTGTAGAAAGCGGGAAACCAGCTTGCTACAGTTGCCCAAAAATAGTCAAGTACGGGAGGAGAGTACACGTTGAGCCTGACAGAGAAACAAAACTTTTCAGGGTGCCGGTAGACAAAAACGCGCACGGGTTTCGCACGGCATCGTCACGGGCATGTGGGCCTTTCGCACGGGCACGAAGGTTACCATTTTGATGTTTTGCGGGGTAGGTTTGAGTGGCATATTTTGGCGAGCCATTGTTCACTTAGTTACCCTGTGTTAAGTTTCGGCACTTTCAAGCTAGAGTGATTTTCTCTGGTGTAGCACCAGAGTGGTAGTTGGCGGGTGAGATGTTGAGTGAGTTTTTGTGGTTTGGTTTGCTCCCTTTTATACTCAGTGTGATGGGGTGAGGTGTTGGAGTCGCATTTCAGCTCCAAATATTACGGGCGTGTTCTAAATATTTCTTACATTACGAACTGAAGGTTCGTGTCGCAACAATAACTACTGCGTGGATTGTGGGAATATGTTTTCGAGTCTGTTCCTGGGTTGGCTGTCGGATGTTGAGAACGATCCCTGGCATCGGGACATCGCGACTCCATTTCGCTGCCAAGTCAGCGTTCGGTTTCATGCGGCGACGCTCAAGCCACAAACAAACCCAGCGAGGCGTGTGAAATTTTGCGAGCTCAACGAAAGGCTCGCTGACCTTCGCCGGAGCGCTATTCCGAGCGCGGCTGGAAGTTTGTGGCGAAAACGGTTGCGGCGCACATCTTTCGTCTTGTGCCGCATGTTTGTCACCGCTGTCATGATGACGCTGCACTGCTGGCTCTGTTCACGGCCCACGTTGAGTGGGCCGTTGCCCGTGTGACAACGCTAATGGGCGATGGTTCCTGATTGGGCCACGTATTGAGCTAGGCCTCCGGCGGGCACCATGTGTACTACTTACGAAAAATTCTCAAAAAAGATTTCACGTCCAGCTCTCTTTGGAACCTACCCGCCGAAGTACCAGATCGCACCACCCACTAATGTCACGAAACCTCCTACTCTTCGCCAGCTCGCCAAAGCGAAGTTTGCTGACACAGAACTGTCAAGAAGCTCGCGCTGCATTCATGTTTTTTTTTGGGTTGCGGAGCAACCTATTACGATCGATCGGACGAGATTTTTATTCAAGTTTAATTAACAAATTTGTGAAACAATCTATTATATTGAAGTAAAAGATTCAGATTAGTGACCAATCTAGTAGGAATCATTCGTTTTAACTATATGGATTCATTAATTTGACTATGTAAATAATTGGATGAAAGTGCCATACTAGAACTACATGTAATGCTATACTTCAAAATAGACATCAATGGAAAACAAATGTGTTCATGTTTTCCATAAT